GGTCCTGGATCATCGTCACTATCATTATTCTGAATTCTTTTTCTGGAAGGTTGCCTGTCTCCACTTCATTTAGTTGTTTTTCTGGGGTTTTATCTTGTTCCTTCATCTGGTACATAGCCCTCTGCCTTTTCATTTTGTCTATCTTTCTGTGAATGTGGTTTTTGTTCCAAAGGCTGCAGGATTGTAGTTCTTCTTCCATCCCCACTTCTCTTCATCTCATGCCTTGACATCTCCACTTCCATCATCCATCCATCCTCTCCACAAACATTTACTGAGCACCTACTGCAGGACAAGTACTGTGCCTTCAAAGGAGTTCACAATCCATCAGGGAAGACTCACCTATGACAAATAATTGTATTTCAGCGTGCTGAAGCCCTAGTTCTGCTGTGTATCAACTGTTATGAACACACAGAGAAGAAAGGCATGAACAGTATGAGTCAGGAAAGGTTTAACTTAGAAGGTAATATTTGATCTAGGTTTTGAAGAATGAAAAGAAGTTCAACAGCTAGAAAAGAGAAAGGTATTCCAGGCAAAGGAAATAGCACATTCTGAATTCCATTCTGGGACTTCTGTAGTTTCTACTTACATCATGGAACTCATAGTTTTGGTACTTATAGTGTAAAATGTATCATTTATAACCTCATTATATGTCTTGGACTACAAACTTCTTGACACATCAGTTCATATACTTCATTTGTATTCTCCTCAAACCTTAGCAAAGTGCTAAGCATTGGGCACATAGTAAAGACCACGAAGATGTTGACAGAGTAATCTGATAATCTGTCAACATTTATGTACTCAGTTTTTTTGTGTGTATGTGTTCCCATAGGACTTTATGGACATTAAAATTTGGATTTCATGTAATTTTCACAAGTAATGAAATGTTATTCGTCTTATGATTTTTTGAAACATTATCTTTAGAGCAGTTTTAAGTTCACAGCAAAACTGAAGGCAAGGTATAGAGATTCTTTCCTATATGAATTGCCCCTCCCCCACGACTGATATCCCCCACCAGAACGGTACATTTGTTACAAATGATGAACCTATACTGACACATCGTAAATCACCCACAGTCTGCATTACAGTTTGCTCTTGGTGTTGTACACTCTATGAGTTTGGACAAATGTATCTATCATCATGGTATCAGACAGAGTATTTTCACTGCCCTGAAAATCCTCTGTGTTCTGCCTGTTCAATTCCCCTTGCCCCAAAACACACACACACACACACACACACACACACACACACACACAGTTTTTATGTGTAAGGGAAGGGAACTAATGTTTATTGACTATTGACTACATGCTAGGATGAGTGTCAAAAGCTTTACACGTGTTCCTTCATTTAGAGAGATTAATCAGGCAATGGGCTGTTTCGGAGGATGAAGGTGTTAGGAAAACGGAAAGTAACATAGATTTCAATGCAGCAATCCAGCAATGATTGAAGAGGCTGCCTCTGATGGGATTTGATCACTCACTAGGTACTAAGAGAGATGGAGAGAGAAGACACATTTTGCTCCCGAAGCCTCTCTTTTCACGAGCTCCCACCCGGTACACATCCCACTGGGTGTTAATGATGTCTACACTTTATTGACTGCACTATGCTGGGATTTATCAGGAACTTCACTGTAAAAGGGGTAGCGTGTGACAGCAGAAAGAGCAGGAGCCTCAGAGTGCAGTGAAACATCCCCACCTTAGTTTTGCATGTTACTAGCTGTGTGACATTAGGCAAGTTTCTTAAAACTCTTGAAGCCTTAATTTCCTTGTCTGTCAAATGGAAACAATAATAAGTACACCATAGGTTTATATGACATTAGTTGCAGAATACCTAGCACCCAGAAATGCTCCCTCTCCTATCTTCCTATGTACAACCTATTGGACCTGAAGAATTTGAAAGTACCAGACATGATGAATAAAGAAAAAGTACTTTTCTTTGGCAACATCCTATATTACAGAAATTTTGTTTCCTCCAATATCAACAGTTGCTGATGTCATAGTGTTAGTTGTTCAACATATTCTTGGAAGATTAACATTGTTATCGATGCTTCAATTTGCAAATTAAAAACAAAATTCAGATAGAGAAATTGTTACACAATTCCTAAAGTTCAGAACTCTCTTGTTTCTATTCTTTCACATAAGTCACTAGACTACTTTTTCTTCAATGAGGCATTTTGTACAGATGGAAATAACTATTCTCTTTCTCAGTTTCAGCAAGAAGCACATTTATCATTTGTTCAACAAAGTCATATTCACTTTTTACAACTGAGAAATATTTAAGGGATTTCATTATATTTGGGGAAATTTTCAACAATCAGAGATTTAGCAGCTGTCAAAAAAGACCTCCACGATTAATCTTTTATAATATGAGTGTGACTTGTAATCTCTACACTAAGGATAAAAATTACTAAATATAAGGAAAAATGATTCATAAACTATAATATTTCTTGGCAAAGAAAAACTGCTTTATGCTTTTTAAGATGTTTGAAAATTTAAATGAAACTTACATGTTTGAAATTAGTGCCAGATGCAACACAATTCAAGCACAATTCACTAGCTGCATCACATTCACTATGATTTAGTAAAAGATATTCAATAATTCTATGTTTCATAGAAATCTCACAAATACAAGTATTTCATTCACAAAATGCATGGTTTGGCAGGGTTCCAGGACAGGAATTTGCTGGAGGGAAGGTAAATTTATTGATTAAAATAAATCAAATGACTGACATTTCCTCCAGAAAACTGGCAAAATAATAATATTCAGAGACTGAAAGTCTTACAAGCAAAACTGGAAGAAAGGTCTGAGCTATTTACGTTTATTATAGGAATCCAATAATGTCATAAGAGTAAACAATCAGATATTTGAGAATTCTCAAGTTAACATTGAGAACATTTTAAACTACATATTTTTGGAGTAGGACTTTCCAGAAACCTTTGATGTGAAATCTGGTGGCTTTAAGTCTTTGGAGTACTTATAATTATATTCCCCCTCTATCCCTTGCACATTTATGTGCACTAAACAATGAGTATTCTTTGATGGAACATATGTAGAAACAATCCAGATAGTTCTGAAACAGGCCAACAATATTTCCTTCCTACCTCATATCTCAGTTCTTCCCCTTCTGTGCTCTCTTTCCCCATTTTGGTTACACCTCCACCATCAATATTTGTTATGGACTGAATGTTCGTGTACCCCTAAAACTCATATGTTGAAATCCTAACCCCAGGGTGGCTGTATTTGGAAATGGGGCCTTTAAGGAATTAAGGTTAAAAGAGGCCATAAGGGTAGGGCCCTGATCCAATAGGATTAGTGTCCACTTAAGAAGAAACAAACACCAGAGAGCCCTTCCTGCCCCCACCCACCCCCTTCTCTCTCTCTCCTTCTCCCTCTCCTTACACAACTGCACAAAAAAGATTTTATGAGCGCACAGCAAGATGGACGCTGCCTACGAACCAAGAGAAGAGGCCTCAGAATGAAATCTACTTTGCTGACACCTGGATCTTAGGCATCCCAACCTCCAGAACTGTGAGAAATAAATTTTTGTTGCGTAAGCTACTTAGTCTGTGGCATTTTGTTATGGCAGCCCCAGCAGACTAAGATAGCAATTAAGAGGCAACAGTGTAGCAGTCACAACAGCATTTTCCTACACATCCTCTCTTTAACTACTTTTTATGGATTGGATTCAGGGAAAAACACTATTGAGGGGCTGGACACATTTGGCCAGGAGAGTTTCATACAGATCCTCACACCACTCAGCCCAGCTTCTAATCGAGCATCAGAGAATGTGAGTGTGAGAAAGGACGTTAGTAACCCAAACTTGTCATTTCAGGTTTTGCTGTGATTCTGGGGTCATAGAAAACTACTCCATACACCTGGCACATGTTCTGGAAAACAATGGGGGTGAGGTAGTTGATAGTTAAGTATTACACTTAAACATCGGTTTATACTAAATTGTGATATGTCATTGAGTGCAATACAAAATTCTTTCACATTTTTAGAATGCTTCAAAGAAAGGCATTACTGATAAGGCTAATGTCAATACCAACTGAAAATTACTGTTGGCAAGGTAATGCCTTAAGGGGTTTATGTGTATTTTGTTACATAATCGTTACAACACTAGAAAATAGGAATGTATTCTTATTATTATTACAGAACGTTATTTCAGAAAATGGAAGCATTTCTAAAATAGCCCCCTCCCATCACGGTCATATTATGCTGTTTTATTTTCCTCATAGAGCTTTTTTTTTTCCCCTGTTTTTTTTTCCCTTGCTTATTTTCTATGCTTCCCTAAGCCCCTTCTCAGAGCTTAAGACAGTGGCTGCCACGGAAAAGGAGCTCAATGAGCTTTTGGCCAAGGCCACATAGCTGGTCAGTGAAGCAGCTGCCACGATCACCAAACGGTAAGCGCCACTAGAGCAGAAGTAGGGATCATTTTGCTCTAAACATAGGCTGGCAGGGTGCCTGCTCAATAAATATGTACAGAAAGAAAACAAAGTAAGGAAGGGAGCGACGGGAAAAGGATGTATGAATGGAAACGTTCCCAGAAGGGTCTAGAGAGCTTCTGCAGTGACTTTCCGTCCTTGGGGAATGAACTCAGTTCAAGGTCTAAGCCAGCACTTTCCTCACCACGGAGTACGGGAAGGAAAGGAGAAAGAACAGTCTTTAAAAACGTCCAGAAGAAAGAAGAAAACGACGAGAGAAAAGCTGGGAGAAAAGAAGTAGAAAGAAAGGAATCAACCCCTTCCTGCCTATTTAAAAGCATAGCTGAACGCGGCCGGTTTCCATGGCGACCCGAGGCCAGAAAGGCCTTAGCCTATTGGCTGAGATTCCGGAGCCAATGAGAAGGCGCGATGTTGACGGGTCATAAGATGGCTCCTGGACGGCCGGCTACGGACCGGTGAGTAGAGCTGGTGGTTGGGCTGGCTTCTGGGCGGCCCGGACTCCGGTATGACGGACCTGGGAAGGCCGGGTGCGGGGAGCGAGGGAGCCAGCGTGGGTGGCCTCACAGCCTCTCCGCGGAGCCTTCAAACCCTTTGGCCGGGCCCGCGGGAGAGTCGGCGGAGCTGGCCTCCGCTTTGCTTGGACCCGGCGTCGCAGCGCCTTCCCCGTCCTGTTGGTGGGAGAGGGGTTCTTCGTCCCACCTCAGCCAGAGTGAGAGGGGACGAGGAGACAGACTTTCGGTCCGGGAAACAGTCTCTGGTTTACAATTGCTGTACCCGGAAGACAGCTGCAGTCAATGGGAGTGTCAGCAAGCTAGACGTCCTACATCAGAATCTGCAACGCTTAGTTCTGTGCTGGGAGGGGATTCTTCCCGCTCGGGGATCGGAGTGTGACCCTGCTGCCGGAGAGCCTGCAGAGTTACGGGTTGTGCAGCCAAACAGGAAAAGATGTACCTTTCTAGAGCCACCCTATTGCTGTCTTGCACCATGTAAGTATTCTCACAGCTGCATCCAATTTGAAATGAGCTTCCAAGTGTTATTGGTTACTTGTAAATCCTTCCGTGTAGGGTTTTGAGTCTGGGGAAGTGTTGGCTAAACAAAACACTCACTTTGATGAAAACATATGCATACATGCAAAATCCTGCTAAATAGTTTATCAGGGTAATCAGATTGGTAACTTAAATCCGAAGTCAGGCCTGTGATTCAGTTGTACTTTCTCTACCTTTTTGAGAAAAGGGAGCGTATTTATTTCATAAACATGAACAGGACATTTACATTAATGTTGATGACAGCATGCTTAAAAGTATTTCAGTTAAGTAACTAATTCCCAGTCACAGAAACTGATTATTGTGTAAATTATTTAACACAATCTTGAGATTGGTGGGTGGTGGCTTGTGACTGTCATACAATTCAGATCAGACAAGATTCAGATTTCTTTATTTCTAATTGAATATAAAATCTGGGAAATAAGACAGCTTCATTTGGTAAAAATGGAATTGAAATTCTGGAGTATTACAGGCAGGAGACATTTACCCAGTAAACTGCTCAGATTGGGTTTTGGTTATACACAGTTGCCTGGACTTCCAGAAAATGTGCCATTATTACCCAGACCTCTGAATGTGACTTCAGGCGATTTAGCCTAGCATTTTACATAGCTTTCTGCCCTTAGAAAGTGAGAAGAAAATTCTCACTGTTAACAAATGTTAACAGAATTACAGGCTGGAGACATTCTTCAGACCCATTCTCTAATCTGTGTCACCAAGAATATATTACTATTTAAAGTCTGTTCTCTATAGAGTTTTCAAGCTATAGAGTTATATTTTTCTAAGATAAGTGGATTACAGTGCATTAGGTGAGTCCGTTACCTCATCTGTAAAAGGGGTTTAGATAATAATTCCTAGTGGAAGGGTCATTGGTGAGGATTAAGGGTAAAACGGTGCCTGTCACATTGTTTGTATGCCATGTATAGCGGTGACCTGCTTTGTTTTTCGTTTTGTTTCTGTTTCTTCTGTCACAATTGGGGTTTCTTTCCCTTTCTGCAGAGCATCTTTTAGGTGTTCTCTCTGAAGTGCAGAGTCTTACTGAAAACTAGCAAGCTTGCCTGTGGTGGCTGGGTTAGGAGAGAACCCTTATCTTCTGGGGTGTTGAGGTTTAATTAGTATTGTTCTGACTGCGAGAGGATGGAATGTTACAGCAAAGAATGAAGTGATTCTGGGCATTTGGGCACGTATAATACTGAGATCCATAAAGAAACATTTTAGAGCAGCAGGACATCCCAGAGATCTGATCTGAGCTTAAGAATAAAGACCCAGACAGATGCAGTGCCTTCCCCACAATTTTGTTGTTCAGGATCAGGAACCCATCTTCTGACTTTCAAAACAGTGTTTTTTCTGCTACTCTACCACTGGTTCTCAATCCTTTCACAACCTAGAACCCCTTTTATTATAATTTGATATCTCCATGGATGCTATATTTTGAAAGATTGTGTCCACTAAACTATATTCATTAATTTTTGTTCTTGTTTTTTTTTTTTTTTTTAATAAAAATCAGGTCTGTAGCTACCAGAGTCTCTGCTGAATGAATGTGTGGTGAAGAATAATGTTTCATTGAATTTAAGTCTCCTGACCTAAAGGTGGATGATATTGTTTGAGGGATAATAAAATATATTGGGCTTTTTGAATATTGAAATTAGCTTAGAGACGTCCATTACTGTCTTCATAAAACTTTGGGAAAACCTAAGCTGAGGAACTGCTGAGCTGTGTCGTGTTCTTCTAGGTGCATTGCCGTCTGCCCAGGTGTGCTAAGTGTAGTGACTGTGTTTGGTTTCCACGGGCAAAAGAAAGCCCAGCCATTGAGACGAGGATGATACATAAATATTTTTTGTTCATCATAAATCATGTCAGCCCTGGACTAAAGATGTGTTCTGCATAGCATACACAGAATTTTTTTTGTAGAATAATTGTGGAATTGGAAAAATCTCTCCAATATGAAATGGAGAGGCTGATACTCAAAACCATAGAGAAAAAAGGGATTCTGAATGATTTACATCTTCTTTGGGGCTAAGTGATAAAACTAAAATATTTGACGTGCAGGCTAAAAACGTGGAAATTTATGTATTGATACACGGAGTGATCTATAGACCTGGCGATCATCTACACTAAAAAACTTGTTTCTTGTTCTCTGGTATGCCACGTCTCTTGAGAATTGCTGAGTAATTTTCACATGTGAAGGGTAATTTGGAGTGATCTGCTTTAAAATGAAGGAATGCACTCTGGAAGGTATGAGGTGAGCAGCACTTCAAAGAACTGGAGAATCACAATCCAGACGAACACAACAGAAGTAACGGGGCCTGATAGGACCAGTTGGTACCATAGTACAATACAAATGTATGCATAACATGTATGTGCTTTGAGTAGAAAGACAGTGTTTTGGAACGTAAGCCTAAAACAAGTCACGAAGCAGCCACTCCATATTGGCTGACTTGCAGCCCAGCTGCTGTTCAGGGGGGCACTTTGCACGCTCCTCAGTGAATAATCTGTGTTTGTCCGTGGCCACCAAGTTGCCCTGGTATTTGTGTGTGTGTATGTGTTTTATGGTCAGAGGAGAAGGGCACATCACTTTACAGATATTTAGGAATTAAGTTCAGAAACACACCTTATTTGAACTTTGCCTTGTTTTATGGATTTGGACATAGAGTCCACTTTTTAAAAGTTATTTTAATTTTTTTCCCCTGTGGGCACGCACAAGAAACTATCATACCAGTCAGTGGCATCCTGAGGACAGTTCTTAATGCCACATCAGCAAGAACTTACTAAAAATAGATGATTTTGAGAAAGTCCAAAAGTGATCAAAAATGATTGAGGGCTGATGAGGAAAGGCATGCCCTGTCCATGGCAACTGGCACTGCTTCCCAAGGTGAAACCCATTTGGGTGCCCAGAGCACAGAGTCACCCTGTGGAGATACTGAAGCAGTGGCCCAGTGGAGGAACTGTGCCCATCTGAGCGGTCACAGCTGAAGTCTGGGCTGAGTGGTACTTGGCTGATGGACAGAAGCTTGCCATTTGTATAGAATGTTGGTTCCATGAGGTTAGGCATTTTTGCCTGTTTTGTATACTGCTGTTCCTATGTCTTGAAGAGTGCCTGGCACACAGTGGGCATGTAAAAGATGCTATGGACAGGGAGGAGAAACAGTGGCTTCAAACGTAGAACCCCAGTTGGTGCTAAGAAAGCTAACTCTGAAACTTGTTACTGTCCTTGAGTCCCGAAGTGGGATAGTGAGTCTGAAGGTATATTATGTCAGTGGCAAAGTCATGATGGAGCTTATTATCACTCCCCTCCCCCTGCTTCTCAAAACAGTAGAAATATTTTTATTAATAGCACAACACCTGTTTTTCAATACTGGCATGTTTTACACTATGTCCTTTGTGCTAACAGAATATCTCAACATAACCTCCATTCCAACTTTTAAAATCCTCAGGCCAGATTTAGGGATGGATCCAGGTTTTATAGGGCTTGGAGCTTATGTAATATGAGGTCTCCTCTTTAAAAAAAGGAATACAGATTTAAAATATAGAAAATCAGGTATAGTGCTTTGGAAGGACCTGTGAAAAAGAAGAGCCTTGAAGCTTAGGTTCCATTTATCTTCCTGGTAATTTGCTTCTGGTTTTATTGCTCCATTCAGAAAAAGACATCAACATTTTTAATTGAAACTTGAATCAGACTGTGGAAATCAAGGAAGTAACTGACTTGCATCAATTGCTAAGTGAATGCACCTTAAACATTAGAAACTTCAAAGCTACCTTATGGATGCTGCCACCCATGATAGAAATGATAAAAATGCAGTACCTGGCCACAGAAGTAATAATAATGATGGCAAAAAGAACTTAGCATTGATCAAGTCCCCAGAACCTCCTAAACACTGTGTTGAGTGTTTCAATAGCTTATCTTGTTTCATCCTCAGAATAACCCTGTGTGCAATATAGTTATTCCTGTAAAACAGATGAAAAAACTGAGGGTCAGAGGTGTTAAAAATGATTTCCTCATACCACTAATATATGGTGGAGTCAGGATTACAGTTGGAGTAATTAGATGTTAGAACCCTTCCTCTTAAAAAGCCAAGAGAATGTTTTGGTGAGAATGTTTCAGAGAGCCAGCAACTATGAGGCTGGACCCAGACTGAAAAGTGAGAGCTGATTCTTCGGACTTGGGAGGAGGTCCTTAAAAGTTATCCGGCATCCATTATTCAGAGTAATGCAAAATCCCGTGATACTTTGTCTCAGAGACAATGCTGGTGGTTTTCTTACTAGGTTAATGCAATAGGGGGCAGAAGGGTTAGCAAAAAAGGTTTCCATCTTTCTATTTTATTCCTTTAAGTTGATCGTAAATCTTGAGCCGTACAGCCAACTTCTGTATTCTAGGCCTCTTTTGAATGAACTGGTTTTGGCTCCTTACGTATGCTAAAATAGACTGTGTCATGGAGATTAATAGTGAAAATGTACTCAATTATAATTTTAGCAAATGATTACAACCTCAGTTTTTAAAAATCATTTTTATTAGACTTAACAGTAGTTAATGGTTCTCTCTACCAATGGGCTGTATAACTAATGATAAGAATTACCCTGAACTTTAACTTGTTTCCCAAATACAGTATTATTTTAAAAAGCTGTATGTTTTTGTTAAATTGTTAGGATTGTACTCCATTTAGTATTACTTTAGCAAGCAGTATAAAATGTAAAACTAGGACATCCTTTTTACCACCATACTTTTCTCAAACTACCTGCATAGCTTAAAATTTTTCCTTTGAGTAATACTTTTCCTACTCTGTAGTCCCCTGAAGTTTCGTGCGTTCAAATACAGGCGAAACATCCAATTTTATTTTCTCCTCTGTTACAGCTTGAAATATAGTATTATAATTCTTAAGTTGCCTGCAGTGTATATTGTTAGGCTCTTAACATTCTTGAGCCGTGAATGCTTTTACTGAATTTCTTCTTTTCTTTGGACAAGATTATCCATATATTAGAGAATCGAGGTTCTATTGTCATTAAGTCATTCATCTGTAGGTGTGTCTTGTAACAAACTTGCTGAAAATACACTTTTTAAAAATTTATACACACAGGGCTTCCCTGGTGGCGTAGTGGTTGAGAGTCCGCCTGCCGATGCAGGGGACACGGGTTCGTGCCCCGGTCCGGGAAGATCCCACATGCCGCAGAGCGGCTGGGCCCGTGAGCCATGGCCGCTGAGCCTGCGCGTCCGGAGCCTGTGCTCCGCAACGGGAGAGGCCACAACAGTGAGAGGCCCGCATACCGCCAAAAAAACAAAAAATGTATACAAGCAAAATAGTTAAATTATCTTAATATGGAGGATACATCCCACTTTATACCAATTAAAAAAAAAGTTTAGATAGACTGTTCCCAAACCATTGGTATAATTATTAGGTTGCTGGGGTATCTTTTAATGGTTTTAAAATTCTTTCCATGTCTACTTTATACGTTTTAATTCATTTTTTTCCCTTTAGCAGAAAAGATGTGGAGTGGGCTGCTACCTCCTGGCCTAAATGAAAGTGATGTTGAGTTGAATTCTGATGATGAAGCCACAGTAGAGAGCTCTGAACTTAACTTAGAAGAAGGTAAAGAAGATGGGACCATTACAAACACAGAGGTCTCAGATATCCCTACAGATGGACCAAAAACTGAAGCAGAGGCAAATGTAAATGCATATGAAGAGTGTCCCTCTGGAATTCCCTTAAATATGTGGAATGTAGGTTTTCTCTGACGTGTTCTTATTAAAGCCTGTACCTGTGTGTTTGTGCATGTTCCTGTGTGTGTCTCTGCTGTGGTCAGAATGTATATGTTCTTGGGAGGTAAATAGGTACGGAAGATTGACTCAGAGTAATTTTATTACTCTGTGGGTCTGTGGGCAATTCACTGGCCACTCAGATACTTATGTTCATTTTTGTTTTGTTTTTCATAAAAAGAGGAAGGAAAAAAAACAGTTAGTAGGATTAGCTACTTGGCCTAACATAATACAGTCTTAATCTCTTTGTTGTCTATGAGCCATTGACTTTTATCCTCAGATTATCAGATTGACTTATTTGGAAATAAATGAAGATAAAAACTCAGGTTGTGAAAGTCTCAGACAATAGAGTATCTCAAGAAGAACTGAACTAGTTTCATTAAATTTGTATTTTTATAAATGTTATAGTTTTTTATTACTTAACATGTTATTTTTCAGATGTATGCTTTGCTTCAAAGCATATTTGCTTCTTTCTTTTTTTTTACTTTTATGTAGAAATTTCAAGAACTGCATACAAAACATTCTGAACAGAAAATCTCAACTTCAAGATCCAGAAAGAAAAAAAGAAAACGCTCCAGAAAAGGTGTTTTAATTTAGGTTAATTGTCAATAGTGCTAATATTAAATTGTGACCAATTGAGCTCAACAATTTTTTTTTTGTTTTTTGTTTTTGTGGTACGCGGGCCTCTCACTGCTGTGGCCTCTCCCGTCGCGGAGCAACAGGCTCCGGACGCGCAGCCTCAGCGGCCATGGCTCACGGGCGCAGCCACTCCGTGGCATGTGGGATCCTCCTGGACCGGGGCACGAACCCGTGTCCCCTGCATTGGCAGGCGGACTCTCAACCACTGCGCCACCGGGGAAGCCCTCAACAATTTTTAATAACCATAATTTTGAAATAACCGAATACTTGGTATTGACACTGTGAATTCTTTTTCAGGTAAATTGAAGAATGAAGAAGAATCTCAAAGGTAGGTGGAATTTAAAATATCTGTCTGTCCTAGATAGTACTGTAGAACTTGTACAAATAGTTGAACTACTTAACCTCTGAAACGTAAGAACTAGTAGATGTAATATAATTGTAGTAACCAATTAAAAACAGTAAATGTAAAAGTGAGTACATTTTGTAAAACATGAGTTATTGTCTCTCTTCTTACAGTGAACAGTCCTCAAGTGAAACCCAGTTGAAGGAGCTTACTCAGTATTTTGGAGTCAACGATAGGTTTGACCCCCCTGTTAAAAGGAAAAAAATTGAAAAGGTAAGATCTTTTTTATTGCATCTTACATTAGCCAGTGGGAAATGTTTGTAGTTAACCTTGCCTAAGGTGTTTCTCCTCATTAATTTGTTCAGTGAGGAAGTTAACGTGTGCAAGATGCTAGATAAACAAGTAAACATATAGTTACAAATCGTTAAAAAGGCTGTTAAGAAAGAAATGAACAGGGTATAGTGAAGAAATTAAAAGGGAAGCCCCACTTTAGCTGAGTGGTCAGGAAGTCCTTTCTTAGAGGGTGCCGTCTCACTAAGACCGTAGGATGGGAAGGAACCATCTGTATAAGGAATGCTAGTGTAGAGGTGATAACCTGGGTAAAGATCCTAGGGGTGGAAGAGTCATCATAGAACATTTGAGTAGACGTAAGAAGGTCAGCCTGGCTGGACGGGGTCAGTGAGGAGGAGGGTGGGTGGCCCAAGGTAAGATTGGAGAGGCAGGCAGGCAGGGACCAAACTCTGTAGGACCTTAGAGGACAAGGTAAGGAATTGGGTTTTAGTCACAGTGCAACTGAGAGACATTCAAGGGTTTTAAGTTAAGGGAGTGATGTGATCTAAGTTACGTTTGAAAAGATTGCATCTTACGTGGAAGATGGACCTTGGGGCAACAAAAGCAGATGAGAAGAGGACAGTTAAGAGACTCTTCCAGGCATGAGATGATGGCGGCTTGAACAAGAATGGTGCTGCTGAAGATAGGAAAGTGGGTAGAGTTGAGGTACACTGTAGAAGTAGGATCAACAGTATTTGCCTCCTGATTGCTTATGAGGTGGTGGGGAGATTTAGGATTATGAGGGCAGGGAGAGAACCATTCAGGGTTTTACTTAAGCAGTGGTGTGAATAGTCATGTGAATTACAAAAATGGGAAAGCTTTGGAGGGGAGGTTTAGAGTGGGGCCTAATCCAGAGTTAATTCTGGGGCATGGGTAATAGCAAGCAGGGATAGAGTAGACTGTTGGTGAAACGAGGCGGGAGCTTCAGGAGAGTCTGAGCTTGAGGTGCATGCTTGGGAGTTGTCAGGCTAGAGATGGCGTTAATATTTAGTAGAGGCTTGAATGAATGAATAACTTATACATTCACTTAGGGGAATGTTGACAGACTCCAGGAGCATGAAAATTGAGCTCTGGGCCATAGGGACAGAGGCACAGAGGCCTGCTGGTTGAAGCCCAAGGATATTGTATCCTGCATGTATAGACAGGATCATTGCTGTGTACTACTGTGTATAGAGGTGATTACCATTTTCTGGTTAATCAGTATTTCTTATGAAAAACCTCTGATTTTTAAACCCGTCATTGGGTGGAATTGCCTCCTTGAGGGCACATGCATTAAGAAACTGACACAACAGAGTTTTACATGCGAACCTTTTGATTCCAAGTTTGCCAAGAATTCCTGTCACCTAATCCCTAGAACACTGCGGAATTGGAACCAGGATCACCTGCTGCTGCAAATAATTAGAGCTGTTGAGCAATCTCCTTTTTCCAAATGTTCAAACAGGTGTGGAAATGCTAAATTTCTTACAAAGAGCGAGCACTGGTAGAGGTGAAACTGAAACCCAGGCTTTATTGCGCCATTCTCAGTTCTCCAGCTTCACTGCCCAAGGGGCTGGTGAGCATTTTAAAGTGTGATTGCTGTGCTCTTGACTCCTGTGATTCTGGTGGGCTGGGAGGAGGGATCTTGCGAGGAGGATGCTCTTGACTGTACCAAACCTGTTCCAAAGCCTGAGGAGGAGGCCTGTGCTGACGGCAGCGGGCCCCGGGCCGTCTCTGGCCCGCCTGCTTCAGAGTCCCAACCTCTGACTGGATTGTTCTTTTGAAGGAAGAAATGGTTAAACGTTGGTTCTCATAGGAAATGTTTTTTAAAGTTTTATTTGTGATTTAGGTGGTCTTTGATCTTCAACTGTTTACAGTATTTGTTGTGTTTTCTCATAACTGTATTGACTTTAGAATGTCTGAATTGTTTCTTAGTGAAGTTAAAGCTATGAAATTCAGATTTTAGCCTTTCTAAAAAGTAGAAATTTTGAAGGCATTTTTTTACAATCTATCTGTATTAGAATATTTTTATTTCCCTACATATATGAAATTGTACCTTCTTGATACTTGGAAGATAAGGCCAACTTATTCTTTGTCTAAAATTTGGAATTTGTGAAGAGTAGCTTTAATCAAGGATACTAGGATTTCATGTGCAAAATCTTTTAAACAACTCAGTTTTAGGAACTAGTGTTCTGTTTTGCATTGTACATTAGATGAATTCTAGAAAGAATTATAAGTCAAACACCATTTTAAAAAGGAATTTCTGTTTAAGGGAAGACCGCTCTAAACCCTTTTATAATCACCTGTTGATCTGTTTTATAAGTTCGGCTTTTCCTAATGGTAGGCATTCCTCTGTGTGAATGGCATCTGCCCAAGAAAGTCATGGCATCACCTAAACAAGGAAACTGATGCTGGCCAGGCTTGTATCTGCCCAGGATGTTGCCAGCACTTAATATTCTATAAATAAGTGCAAGCATAAGAGGAAAGGAAGGATTTGGTGAAGCCAGATTATCTCATATCCTCTTGGTAGTTCAGCTTAACTGCATGCCAGCAGGTTCACACTCATTCTTTGGTTTGGGATCACTGTTTCACATGCGCCCCTTTTGCTGTCATGCTAAAGTCTCTACTGTGAATCCAACAGAGTAATAGACATTAAAGAATGTCCACACGGGGGGCACCAAGATAAATGCTAAGAATAAATGTAAGTTCAGCAGATAATAGCACTGCCCAAGAAATCTAGAGAGGATCATGAAAATCCGTGATGCAGTATGGACAAAACTAGCATGGATTTATAGTCCATTATTTTACTTCTCTGGAGCAGAGGCTGATCTGTTACCATATCTCAGAGACCCTTTTTAGTCTCTTTTCACTCAATCACTCAACTCTCAAGAATGGTAAAACAAAACAAACTTCTTACATCTATCGTGTAGTCCTTTTTCTTTTTTTTTTTTTTTTTTTTTTTTTTTTTTTTTTTTTTTTTTTTTTTTGCGGTACGTGGGCCTCTCACTGCTGTGGCCTCTCCCATTGCGGAGCACAGACTCCGGACATGCAGGCCCAGCGGCCATGGCTCACCGGCCCAGCCACTCCGCAGCATGTGGGATCTTCCCGTACCGGGGCATGAACCCGTGTCCCCTGCATCGGCAGGCGGACTCTCAACCACTGCGCCACCAGGGAAGCCCCCTTTTTCTTTTTTATTCTTTTCCTTCTTTTCTTTTTCTCTCTTTTTCTTCCTTCCTTCCTTCCTTCCTTCCTTCCTTCCTTCCTTCCTTCCTTCCTTCCTTCCTTCTCTCTCTCTCCTTCCTTCCTCCCTCCCTCCCTCCTTTCCTTCCTTCCTTCTCTCTCTCTCTCTCCTCTGTCTCTCTCTCTCTTTCTTTCTTTCTCCACTGCCAAGCCAAAACTGTTGCTCAACCAAGGATGTGTATTTACAACACTGCTGTCACCTGCTTCCCTGACAGTGCAGAGAGACTTATATTTTTAAAATGTAATCTTCCTAATATCCAAAGCTGTTTTAAAGTGTTCTTTGTATTAAATACAGCTATAATTGTGTTAATGGCAGCAGTTCTGGCACTTATCAATAATTCTGTAATCATAACAATTATTTTGTGTCTATGTGGGAATTTCTTTAGAATAAATTTTACTCATTAATTTCATTATAAATGTCTCAAGTATTCTTTAGTTGAATCAGTTTGATTAGTCAGCAGTCATTTTTGAAAGTAGTTTTATGTATACTTAATGGATACTTTTTGGCAAGAAAAACCAGAGGTACTTTTAAAAATTTTGAGAGTAACTGCACAATGTCTTTGATAATTTTTAGTTGTTTGTGAGAGGAAGCTGCTATTGTATAGTATGGCTTTTTTCAAACTTATTTTTTTAGCAGAATACTCTTTCTTACTAGAATCTTACACGGAGCGCCAATACAAAGATCACAGGCTGGTTGCCTTGAGTAGGTGGGTGTTGGGTGGGTTGGGTGGATGGTGGGGTGTAGAGGTACCATGTTGTTCCCCTGGGATCAGGTACAAACCATTCTCTCGTCATCCTTATGTGATCCCCGTTGGGTGGGTAGTATGGCCAGTATTATTCTCACAATACAGATGAAGAAACTGAAGCCTAGCATGATTTGTCTAAGAAAACAGAGCAGGTTGAAAAGTAAAATAGTCCCAAATCTAGATTTTTCTGAAGTAACAGTCCAACTTAGTTTTTTACTTACCTGATTCAAATAATTTAGGTAGGCGTGATTTTTATGTAAAAGTAGTAGCACTTAATTCTTAGTTCTTTTTTTTCTTCCTCCTTTATGGAGAGATTACCTAATTTTTTCCCCTAGGTATTTAGGTCTAATCATAGAACAACAAACTTGAGTGGACACTTCATTTGTATTAAGGTTTGAAAATGGAATATGTTATCTGAATAAATATTTAATAGCAAAATTTCTCTAGAAATATATTGTTACAGTTTGACTTAAAGAGCTTTAATCGGTATGTTAAAAGAGATTTTGCTACACATATATGGATGGTTACTCCTTAATGTTAAACCTAATACCCATAAATTTCTTAGATATTTATAGTACTGCCTTGACGTCTGCAACAAAACTGTTAATAAGAGCTTACTTATTGCCTCATGGGAACCTGTCAGATACTGGGCTTAGATGATATTCCACCTGGGACCAAGTTGCCATCCCTAAGTTTGTCTGTACTGAGGTATATCTGAAGCTAAATTTCGATTCCTGCCAGAAGGCCTCTTAGGAGCATGCTGAGGACCTGCAGAGTATCAGCAGTGCTTCTGTGCCCCCTGCCACTCCTGTGGTATGAAAGATGCCCTAGATAATTCCAATAAAGGTTACTCTGGGGTCCAACTTAAGACTTTTAGAAAGCTTTAATACTCAAATCTTATTTCATGAGACTACTTACTGACTCAAAGTTGAAACCTTGGGTCTTATACTTGGGTCTGAGCCCTTGACAAACTATAATGAG